GAGGGTGAATCATGGGAGGCGCTGCATGGACCACTCCTCAGGCTCTGATTCAGTTCCTCTGCATCAGCGACAGAAAATCCAGGGGAAAAAGCCAATACAAGGCTGCACATCCCTCCCCCTCAGAAGCAGTGGGGCTGTTTGTGGCATTACCAAGGGAGGAATGAGCTTAGCTCTCACAGGGAAAGGGAAGATCCCAATGGGAAGACAAAATTCAAGCCTGACAGGGTACTCTACATGGGTCAGCCACACTGGCAACTCAACACTTTTCTCTAGTGGAATCCCACAAAATAAGAAAGTCACAGAGGTTGCAGGCCAGTGTCGAGCCTTCTCCCTTCCTCTAGCCCTGTCAGACTCAGCCAGCACTTTGCTTTCCTTGAAACAGCTTCCCGAGTCACCTATGTCTTTTACGGCCAAATGCAGGATGGCAGGAAGAGAGACCAGATGACAATACCCTCCCCCCCAAGAGATGCTGTAAGAAGAAGGGACCTATCAACTTGGAGATCTTGTGATTACCACATGAGGCAAGAGGCTAGACTCTAGGCCCTCTGAGGTCCCTTCTAACACTGGCCTTATATGATTGCATGAACCATGTTGAATCATACTTCTGCAGACTGGGATGACTGGGTTATGAGAGGACCATAGAGGAAGAATCACTAGAATGTTCTCTTTAGAGGTCTTAAAAAAAATCACTAAAATAGCCTCTTTCTCTAGCAAGGAAGAGGACAACTGGGAAAAGAGGCTGGATTTACAGATTCCAACCTAAATCCCATATCACATTTTGGGTTAAAGAAGGATGCTCTTAGTTCTTCAACAGGAACATACTACATCCCAGAACAAGTTGGGAGAACAAAAGCCATGAACAGCTGCTTTTGGCTAACCAATTAACTGATGTTTGTAAAGAGCCAACACAAAGTTATCTGAAATCAGAGGTTCCAACTTGATAGAAATGAACACCAATTTGAGAATGCTGGTGGGGAGGAAGTCAGATTTTCCATCTGGGTACCCCTCGGGCAAAGGTCAGAATGGGGAGAGAATTACATACATAACCTGGTAAGTGGCTTCTTACTTCAGGTGAGGGCACTCTTGCTGTTCTACCTCACTGGCTAGCCACAGGAACTCTAGCCCAGTATCCAGCTGACCCATTCCAACCTAGAAAGGGTAGTAGTTCCCAATTTTCAGCACCAAAAGCCCTCCTGTCACTTTGGCAATCTCACTCTTTGGACTGTCAATAGATGGATAAGAAAACTATCTACTAGCTGAAGAACCAGGTGAAAGCTCTGTCTCCTGAGAACAGCAACAGGGACCTGAGGGTACTTGGGCTGTGTCATGCTGAAGGTGGGCTCTGGCTTGATCTTAGTGAGCTGGGACTATTTATAGTGCTAGAAAGGCCCAGGCAGATTATTTTCAAACCCCTCATTTTGCAGAGGAGGAAAATGGGGCCCAGAAGTCTAAGTTTGCTGCAAAGTCAGCTCTAGAACCCAGATCTCCTAACTCCCAGCTCACAGTTCCTTCCACTGTGCTGTGATGATGTCGGGTCACTTCACACTGGTACTGAAGAACTGCTTTGGGATATCATTAACCTCTTCACTGTCATTTGACCCGTCCCCACCTTGAAACTGCCAGTGACTAGGATATAATGCTGGAACATGCCATGCAGTACACTCTGCTACCTGACCTGGGGTTGTGACGAGTCTGGAAATTCCTGGTGCCAGTCAAGCACAGCTGGTATGAAGACAGGAAGTGCTAGAACAGGTTTCGTACAGAGCATTTTTTCATGCGCTTCTGAAACAATGCAAAGAGAGCAGTTTCTAGTTTCTTAACCCCACCTCCCAAAACATGCTGTTCCCTCAATTTGATTAGTGACTCCCGACAGGAGCTCTGTGTCAGGTCTTGGATAACATGTGAAGTGTCACTCTCTGCTTCAAAGAAGGAAAATAGAAGCAATATTTAAAACAAAACAAAACACATTGTTCATGGTTCCAAGACTGGAGAAATTTATTATTCTGATTCTAAATACTCTGAAATGAATCACAATGGGAACAAGAGGCAAAGACCTCCTCTACAAGCTGACCTTTAAACTGCTAGGAAATTCATGGAATACTCACCACAAGGAACATGTGTTCCATTTAATGAGCCCAGGACTTTACCCTAGATGTCTCCTATGATCTGTCTTTGGGACAGAGTGGAGAGGATGATCTTACAGTGACAATGGGGGTCTCTCAATTCACTCCTAACCTCCAATAAACAAATAAACTTAATTTCATCAAGATTCCTACCTTACATAAAGGTGAAAATCCTTTAAAAATTTAATTCCTGTTTAGCACCTATGAAAAGGAGAGGGTACGTTGAAGGAGGCAAAAAAGGATCCAGACTCATCTCCTTATTTAATACTAGGAACACTTTAAATACTGAAACAATAAAGAACACATCAATTTACTTATTCTCAACTCCAGTCATCCTTTAGCAATATAATGATTCAGTTTTTATTAACCAGAGAAAGAAATACTTAAAGAAACAAAGAAGCAAAAATGAAAACAAAAAACTCAGTTCCTCCATCACACAAACGGTGACACTTCACTGATGCTCAAAGATGTGGACAACAGAACATCTGAATCTCAGTGCCTCGAGGGAGTCTCTAGTATATCTTGGGCAGCTATGCACACACACGCATGCGCACACACACACACACACACACACACTGCAATGTTGGCCCCATTAACCTCCCCATTTCCTTCTGAGACCCTTGCCCACGCTGAAGTGAGGTGGGGTCTGGGAATGTTCTGGAATGAGCCAAAGAAGTGAAACTCTTCAGGACACTTCCTGTGTCCGCATTCTTCTGCAGGTTCATTCATTCAGCAAACAATTCCTTGAGCAGCCATGATGCACACAAAACAAGCTGTGCATGTGGCCCATGATGACAAATGGGACGTGGTCCTTAGCAGCCCAGTGTTTTACCACAGAACTGGGGAGACATCACAAGTATGTGACCAAGTGACAAATGAGTGTTTGGGGGTGAGAGCTTATAAATACAAAGGAGGGAGACAGATAGATCATCGTGGGGTGAAGTAGCCAAGGAAAGCTTCATGGAGAGCATGGAACTTGAGCTCATCCATAACATTTGAATAAAATTTAGACAGAAATTATATTAATAGTTCTATGTATTTCTAGATTTATCGTGGTGAACAAATTCAACTTTGAGCCAGCAGTACATTAAATAACCAATACTCCTAATACATATTTTTTTCCTTTCTGTGATTCTTTCTTTTTTTTTGCTGGCCTTTTCCTGCTTCTTCAGGCCTCTATCTGCTTCCTGAGATCTTCTCAAATGTATTAAAATGCACACAGCCCACAGACTAGTTAAGTAAACAGATTCATTGAGTTATTATACCGACTCACCTTGCACAACATCGAAATATGGTCATAGTTACTCACAACAACAACAACGATAGCTAACATTCATCCAGTGGCTCAAAGTTTGCAAAGCATTTGATGAAATAATTTCCATTTCCATGACCTACAAATTAGTGGTGCATTACCACTGGGAGCACCACCATGATGGTGTTCAGCATGCACAACAGAGAGGAAAGAGATTCAGATACAGGGGTAGAACCCTAATCAGGACACAAAAAATCCCAGACTCTTAAGACTCCACTAGAATGAATAAACTGCCTAGTTTATCAGGCCACTCCCTATCCCACTCCAACGCCATTCTCTACCGCCCCAGCCCTGAAACTAAGTCACTCACAGGTACTATTTGCCACTGCTACCTCAGAATGACCAGCAGGATGCCCAGGTACAAACTGAGCCAGCATGAAAGAGACTTGGAAGAATCAGCACCAAGTACATCAGGGATATAGGGCAGACCCTGGTTATGAGGGGAAAATTCTGGAATTAGCTCGGGATGGTACACTACTACATTTCCTTATCAACACACTGTTCCTGAGTGGCAGTGCTAGTGGCTAACGAAGATAGGCCAGTCCATGGTTATGCGGCCTTCAAGAATATGGAATATCATGTAGTTGTTTTCACCTAAAATCTAAAAGGCAACTTAAAGAGTGAGGTAATTATCAGAGCTGGTGCGTAGCCATAACACTAAAAGATCCTGTTTCACATTAGCTTGTGTGAAAAGTCAGAGTACCTTCTCTGATCCCACGTGGTCACTACTTCCAACTAACTAGACAATATCACTGTGCATACCCTTCAATCCAGCAATACCACTGCTAGATCTATATCCCAAAGACATCCAAAAAAAGGGAAAAGGACCTATTTCTACAAAAATATTTATAGCAGCTCTTTTTGTGGCAGCTAAGAACTGGAAATTGAAGGGATGCCTGTCAATTGGGGAATGGCTAAACAAGCTGTGTATGATTGTAAGGGAATATTGTGCTGTAAGAAATGACAAGATTTCAGAAGAACCTGGAAAGACTTATATGAACTGATGCATAGTGAAGTGAACAGAACCAGGAGAATGTTTTACATAGTAAGTACAATACTGTTTGATGAAAAACTGTAAATGACTTAGCTATTCTTAGCAATACAATGATCTAAGATGATCCCAAAGTACTAATAATGAAGTATACTATCAGCCTCCAGAGAAAGAATTGATAATGACTGAATAAAGACTGAAGCTTGCTATTTTTCACTTTTCACTTTCTTTTTTTCTTTTATTAGAGTCTTCTTGTACAAAATGACTAATATGGAAATGCTTTACCTAACTGCACATGTATAATCTATATCTAATTACTTCCTGTCTCTGGGAGGGGAAGGGGGAAGAGGAATAGAATTTGGAACTTAAAACTTTAAATAAAAATGTTAAAAACTTTAAAAAGAGAGAGAGAGAGAGAGAGAGAGAGAGAGAGAGAGAGAGAGAGAGAGAGAGAGAGAGAGAGAGAGAACATCATGGAATGTTTGCAAGGAACTTTCACTAAGTTCACATTATCCAAAAATGACTCTAAGAAACCAGGCAGCCAAAAAAGAAATAAAAAAAAGATACTGCTTACCCGCTCCACAAGTCCTTCCTTGTGCTTCAGTTTATACACCTTCAGCTTGGGCAGGAAAGTCTCAGTATAGTTCTTATCTTCTAGCCCTTGAAGCATTTTGCCATGGAAAGCTAGTCGGCAAGTATTGGCGTGTATATCAGTATCAAGTTTAGAGCCAATCACAAGACACAATTTTGGGCAGGTGACAGGCTTCTCGAATTCCAGGAGAGCCCACTGCTGTTTTGGCCACTTCTCTACAGGTTGGTCACTCTTCTTGTCCTCCTCTGCAGTGGTGGAATCCTTGGACAAATACTGCTCTTGATATAGGTATTCCTTTCCAAAGTCAAAGGTCTCTTCTAGGGGCTCACAATCAAACTGATCAGGAGCTGGGCTGAAAAACATCACCCTTCCCATCACTGTTTCATGACCAACTGTTATATGAAATTTTGCCTTCGTCTGAAGAGCACCTCGAAAATAAGGAATCTTCTTAACAGAAACAATTGCAGCATGGATGGTATGGAGAGATTCTGGTGTGCACGCTAGCCCCCGTTCTAGCAACTTGGGGTCAAACTGGGTCACACAGATGCCCAATCTATCTCCTTGCATGGCTGAGGTGACCGGAGTGTGGAACATCTGCATGGATTTCACTTTCTTCACTACCTGATTTTAAGAGAAGGAAAAAAAGAATGAATTAAGTTAATCAAAAACAGCTCTAAACCTCTAAGATTTCCTTTTACAGAGCCTCTATCTTCCCTTATTTCCCTCACATTCCATTAGACTGTGAGCTCCTTGAAGACAGGAGCTATCTTTTGCCTCTTTTTTGTATTCCCAGCTCTTGGTACAATTCCTGGTATGCAGTAGGGACTTAATAAATGTTTACTGAGTGATCCCATTAGCAAATCAAACTCTGCTCCATGTAAGTTTAAAAAAAAATAAACACACATCTGCATCACACAGCCATGGGGAAGAACACACACACAAAAACCTAATGTTTCAGTGGTTGTTGCCACAGAGCTATCTCATATCCATACAGTGTCATTTTTATTTCACAATACAGAGCATAGCAACACCACCACAGGGGCAAGGGAGAGCTGGAATGGACCTTGGAATTCACATTGTCTAATTTTCTCATTCTACACAGGAGGAGACTGAAACCCTGGGACCTGAACTGATTTGCCCAAGGTGACATGGCCAGAAGTAGCAGGATTAGGTCTAGACACTAGGTCTTCTGGTCCCAGCATTTTTTCCTACCATTTTATAGTGCCTCTGAGGCAATAACAAATATTCTATTACAAAGTTCTCTACATCGCACACAAAGACGTTCCCTCTCACCACATTTGGTTGGGAAGGCAATAGCTTTTTAAACAGTCAGATATCACATATCCCAGTGTCCCAAACTTGAGGAGATGTAAGAATGCACAACGAATGGTCTGCTGTTTCATTGGTCTAATCTCCTTACTAAAGAAGGCTTTTTTTGGTTTTTGTTTTTTAAACAATGAGTGCTGTTCAACAATGGAATAGGATGCTTCCTGAGGTAAGGAGCTCCCCTTCAACAGAAGTATTCAAAACGGGTCCTGCACTGCTATAGATGAGATTCCTGAGTGGGAACAGATTAAACCAATGAAGTGCCTTCCATCTCAAAGATGTGATTCAATTGAATGAATATGTGATGAATGCCTATTATGTGCAGAGCACAGTGCAGATATCCAAAGAAATGCAAAAACACGGCCTTAACCCCCCAAAACCCGAGATAATAGCTACGGAAAGGGAAAGGCAAGTACATAAATAACAAGGCAGAATGTTTGAAGAGCTGGATGACAAGAAGCTTTTGGCACAAAGCCAATATTCCCAAGGACATGGTCCTCTGGGCCCTTACAAAGATGCAAGATCCTAGAAGCAGTTTCAGAGAGGTCCCTTCCTGGACAAGAGGAGAGCTACCAAAAAGCAGCTCTGACCCTGAAGGTCTCAGGCCAGGGCTCCACCTGGGTGTGTTTGGGAGTGCTGTTGTTTGTTCTTCCTTCTAGAAGAGGACCATGACATCAGGAAGGTGATGCCCTAACATGCAAGTGAATTGGATTTCAGTGAGGCAGGGTTGTGCAAAGTCACCAGCCTTACTTTTTCCTTTGGAGCCACCTGGGTCCAGTGGCCAGATATGGATCAGGATGACTGAAGATGGCCTAGGATTCAGTGGGAGACCTTGGCCTTTTTAAGCTAAGGTCTTTAACAGGTCTCAGTCTGACTGAGGCAAAGTCATCAGACTGATTAAGGCTAAGTAAGAAATGAGGCAGAGAATGGCCTCTTTTCCTAGTCAAAAAAAAAAAAATCTGAGAGGGAAAGACCCTCAGGATTTCTGGTTAAAACAGAAACAATTGCTATTTACATTCACTCCGAGCCAATCAGGGCCCAAAGAATGACCAAGTGGGGCTTGGCCTGGTACCTATTGTTGGCCAATCAATGAGAAGCAGAGTGATAGTCTAAAAGGGTGGATGAATAGGTGCATGGCTATTCTTTTGTAATTTGCAAGTAACCTGTAAACAGTAAAGAATGGTGAGGGCTTCTATGAGGAGACCTTTTGAATTGTCTGATTTACTTTAGAATCAAAGCCAACTTATAAATATTACTGTCATAGCAAACACCATGAAAAATTAAAAGAGATACAGCACGACTTGCATGACGTGACACAAAGTGGACAAAATGGAACCAAAAGAGCCACTATACAATTAAAAAATTATGTTAATAAAGACAACTCCAAAAAGGCAACAAAACCCACCAATACTAACTATATAGCATACACTCATCCTTTTTTTTTTTTTAAATCTGTTAATCAACAAGCATTTATTGAGCGAATACTATGTTCCAGGCACGATTCTGGGAACACCTATGTAAAAGGAAATACTGTACAAAAAGTCTGGAAAGTTAAGTTAATTACACTTTACAAGGGGAAAATCACTAAAATGTAAGATTGTATATATATTATTTGAATTATTTTTTATGCTGCTTTCCTTTATTATTTTGAGAGACTATACATTGTGAGGGATTCAGTTGTGAATATGTTGAGAGCTCAGATTATATGCTAAAACAAATTTTATCAAATAATTTTTTTAAATCCACCTGTGCTATGTTCCATACAGAGATGTCAAGAAGCTATGTTTAGGATAATAGGATCACAGATTTAAAGCTGGAAGAGACCTTAGAGGACAATGAGTCCAATCCCCTCGTTTTACAGATAAACAAACTGAAGCTAAAAGAGGTAACTTTTAGGTTAACTTGCACACAGCAAGCACACAGGTTAGGTAACTTGCACACAGGAAGTAACTATTTGAGGTGGCATATGAACTCAAGTATTCCTATCTCCAAGCTCATTTTGCAAAGCAGGTAAAATTAGGGTACAAATATTCAGAATATAATGTCATCTCAATCATACTGATTTCAATTATGTAGCAGCCACGTCTATTTATAGAACAGTTTCAGAATGGAGCAAAAAGGGTCTCTGAGCTGCCAAAAGAAAGATCACAAAGTTCATGCCCTTTACTCAGAAGGAAAACCCCTTGGTCTTCTTGCACAGCCTGTTGATTCTTTCTTTATTCTGAGCTGTTTTCTGGTTTGTCACCAAACCGGCCATTTTAAAATGGATGTTAAAATTTGGAGGCAGTTGAGAAAAGCAGCAAAAGCACTGAGAAGAAATAATAACTGACAGTGAAGAAAAAGAAAGAAAAAAACACACAAAGACAGCAGAAGAATTCAAAAGGCATTAGTGGCATAAGGCCACTTGGTATTGCAGGCCAAACTCCTCCAGATCTTCATAGCCCCTGTAGTCATCACTATGCCATACTACAGTACATAAGTGACCCTCAGTCACCAAGACAAAATTTAATTATGTTATATCTGACATCTCAAATTTAAGAAGGCAGAGTGGCATGTAATATATATTTGGAAAGGCTTCCATTAAAAATGCTTAAAATCAAAAGAGTTTTGATGCTTTAAAGGTAAATGTCCATTATCAGAAAAAGTGACTTGGATGGCTATGGAATGAGAGGCCTTAGGACCCTTCGGGGTAGGTCGTTCCCTTCCCTGGGCATCTATATATTTTTAAAGATTTATGCTCCTAGGAAACATCTCCCAGGTTATGATAGTGGGTCAACAGAACACATTTCTATACAGAAGCCCAGCACTTTCTGAAGCTCTTCAGTATTTAACTGTTTGTTTACAGATCATTAACTTCCCCACAAGAGGCTGAAGGGCAAGGAAACTGATAACTAAATACTAGACCAGGCTACAAATCAATCAGCTAGGATGATACTACTAAAGGGGAATGGAAGTCAATAGGAAATAAGATTTCATTTATATATAACTTTTCAAGAACGTATCTCAAAGCAGATACTGCATAGTATCCAACAGGAGTTTTTTCAATAAAGTGGGAACCAAACCACTACTCTACCCATACTTAGATTGACAAATGATCCAGCTGGACTCCAAACCTATTTAGAAATCTGAATGCCAGCAGGTTCTGAGTCAAACGTTATCCATGTAAAAAGTAGGCACTTAGTAAACTTTTGTGCCATGACTCTTAAAGAGAAATTTCAGGTTTATGAGCCCTCCTGAGAAGTCACTGAGAACATTTACTTGAGTTACAATTCCCATCAGGGGAAACTGCCATCACTGCAATAACTACTGATCTCCTAGACAACACCCAATTCCTCCTTTCTGATTTCAAACTTGAATTATTAGATTATGTGTATGCATATGTCATATATACATATACATATCTGTATATAGGTACTTACATATATGCATACATAAATTTAAATTTTCAATGTGGTTCATATTCTTAGGATTAAACCAATAAAAAGATCTTGATAAAGATAATATGGAAAAGAAAAGCAACAAAGTAACTGTGGAAATAAAGATTTTTAAGGACCTGAAAAGGAAACAGAAAGAGAAAATAAAGACACTGTGAGAATGACTTAAGTTTTCTTTTTTTTAAAATATAAATTTATTTATTTTTAGTTTTCAATATTCACTTCCACAAGTTTTTGAGTTCCAAATTTCTCATCCCTCCCCCCACCCCAAGATGGCATGCATTCTGAACACCCCTTCCCCTGGTCTGCCTTCTATCTCTCCCCCCTCCCTTCTCTTATCCCCTTCCCCTTCTATTTTCCTGTAGAGCAGGATAGACTTCTGTACCCCATTTCCTGTATTTCTTATTTCCCAGTTGCATGTGAAAACATTTTTTTTAAATGTGTTTTTAAAACTTTGAGTTCCACATTTTCTCCCTTCCTCCCTCCCCACCCACCCTCACTGAAAAGGCAAGCAACTCAATATAGGTTGTACATGTACAGTTATGCAAAACACTTCCTTAGTAGACATGTTGTGAAAAACTAACTCTATTTCCCTTAATCCTATCCTGCCCTCCCATTTATTCTATTCTTTCTTTTGACCCTGTCCCTCCTCAGAAGTATTTGCTTCTGATTACCCTCTTTCCCAATCTGCCCTCCTCTCTATCACCCCCCTGCTCTCTTGTCCCCCTCTTCCCCTATTTTCCTGTAGGGTAAGACAGATTTCCATACCCAATTGAATGTGTATGTTATTCTTTCCTTAAGCCAAATCCTATGAGAATAAGATTCCCTCATTCCCTCTCACCTTCTCCTGTTTCCCCTCCA